CACACTTAGTCCCTGTAGTGTCATTTTCATGTCAGATTAATGATGCAGCAGGTTAGGATAATTAAGCAGGGTCTCAGGGAGAGAGAATAAAACAAGCAGTTGAGCCAAAGGGGACTGTTTAATGGTCCACATCATCAGCTTGTTTGCTTATTTGTTAACCAAAATGGTAGAAGTAACTTGACAGCTTGATTAAAAGATGTTCTTACAGAGGTTCTAAGCCTATTTATGAGGAAATTAGGAGAGACAGCAGTTCAGTGGCTTGTAACTTTCACTTCTCAACAGAGATTTCTTCTGTACAGTCCAAAGCAGACCAGCCCAGTATGCTTTCTTTTCTTTCAATCTCTCCAACTTCTCGAAAATGCTCAGAAATCATGATTCCCAAAATGCAATTAAATGCTCTGAATCCAAAAGCCAGTAGGTGGAACCAGGTTTGTAAGTCTTGTTTAATGGTGGCTGCTACTAATTCTGTCTGATGCAAGAACTACATCTATGACTATGCAGAAGACAGCCTGCGGTTAAAATAGCAACAATTTCCTGTTAATCTGCTAGCTGTACATATGAAAAGAGTTCCTCTTTCATTTCTGCTTTCACCACATCGTGGAACTACAGCGGTTTACCCTCATCTGAATGATACTTAATACATTTAATATAATAAAGAAATTAGGAAAACAGAATCCCCATCATTTAAAATACCTAACTATTGTAGAGCTGTATTTTGTTTTTTCCCTGTTAGGTCACCCCTAGATTTTTTTTTTCTTTTTTAAATTTTACTTTTGTCACTTTGGATTGTAAGGCTGCTTTAACTAGTCAGGCGGTTAGATTGGCTAATCTCTACTCTTCGGAAAAGTTTTTTCTCCCTTTTTGTTAGCACTCAATGCTATGATAGCAATGTAAAGCAATGGACCAGTAATTCTGTTTCATTTGTGGAACGATAACGATACTTAGTTCAGTCCATGTAGAATTGAGATAGACATCCAGTGAAAAATGATCAGAATCATTATCACAAAACAGACTGAATATCTTAAGAGCCAACAGAATGGAAGCTGTGCAGAGTTAAAGAGCTATCCTTCAGGACGTAAGTGAGGATTCTTAGAGGAGCTTTATCTCGCTGCTCACTCAGGTTATAGAGAGAGAATATGTGAGGCCACTTACTCTGCAGCATTAATATGTCTCTTCTCTGACTCCTCAGTGAAGTCTTTTGTCAGGCCCCCCCAAACTGGGCAGGCACTGGTCAAATGAAGGATAACTCAGTCTGTTTTGAGGCATCAGATGGAAGGCAGGGTCTTTAGGCCGTACAGAGATAAAGCATTGTTGGTCTGGCTTTAGAGAAAATGCCAAAGATATGGGCATCCCATCATAAGTCTGATGGAATTGGAGCTCAAAGTAGCTTTAATGTGGATTCTTAACTGATGCTATGGGCAGATCCCATTGGCAGTGGAGGAGAAGGAATAACCATGTCCACTTAAATCCCGCCCCCAGTCCAGGCCAAGTAGAGACCCCCTCATTAATCCGGTGAGTGTGGTGCCATCAGCACATTTCACAGAAAAAGCTGAGGAACTAAGGTTTGAGAACAGGCCATAATAAAAATCATGAAAATGAATGGTGATAAAATTCACCCTGGGGGGGAACCACAATTTTGTGATTTAAGAAGACCCAGCAGTTTGAAACTGCCCCAAATTTATGTTGGTTATCATAGCACTTGTTTTCATGCTTATTTCTATATTTCTCTTGTGTACAGGTCTTTGTGACTTTTTTTCTGTGTAAAGTACTTAATAGATTGAGTTCAGGTTCTTACTTGCTGTACCACAAAAAAGCCTTATTTTGAGTCAGACATCTATTTTTCCACTTCTTCTCATTGTGTAACAATATCAAAGAAAGTTGCTCTCCAAGTACATTGTGATTGCGCCATTATCTCTTTTCGTTTTTGAGTGGGAGAATTCTGATGTGTTCACACTAACAAAATATTTGTCAGTGCTGAAGAGATGGAGGCTATTAGCAGCAATCAATAAGACTTACTCAGCTCTGACAGATAGAGCAGGCTGCCGTCAGGAGGAGGAAATGTCCTGTTTTTTCCCCCACAGCGAGCAGCGTTCATATCAGGAACAAACGCCCGACATTCTCCTAAAAAGATGTTAGAGGACTTTATCAGGGAGAATGTGATACATGTGGAAAGAACACGTGTACACACATTACCACCAGACAAAGACGGGATGTGTGACCATGCATCCACAACTCTGGGTGAGGACAACACAGCATGCAACTGGGAAAACCTGGGACAAAGATATGGGAGGGGCTGTGTTTGGTTTTGGTGTTTTGCATTTGCTTTGGTTTCCTGTGAATGCTATTTAGGTGAATTTAACACCGAAAAAATGTATGGCTTTCCACAGAAAAAGAAAACAGGTTTTCTACAGGCAAAGTTATTTAGCAATAACAAACTTTTATCATGACTCATACGGGTTGTGCCATGGTGGGATGAAACCTACACATTTCCACAAGTTCAAACAGGCGTACAGGTCTGACACATTATGCAAAAAAAGTCGTTCCCAAACAGTCCTAAAGGCTTGGTGACGTCAGGAACACTTTCCCAGACATTAAAGCAAATGTCAGTTACCATCCAAAGAAAAAACAAATTTGAAAATAAGTGAACAAACCAGCAAAGTTTTCCAACTTATATAGTCGAGAACTGAGGGTGTTATTTGCTCTTCCTGTGTGTACATCCTATTCATTTGTTCCATAGACGGCCATTGCACTTTCAGGATGTGGTACTGGACCAAAGGGAGTTCAATCTATACCCCCCTCCTCCAACCTTTTTTTTTTGGACCTGTATGAATTAGTCTCATTTGGAATTTAATGACCTGGAACTGATTGGATTATGATTGTATGACAATGGATTTCATTCTGATTAGCTTGAATTGAACGACATCACTGAAGTGCCCATATATGACATTTGGTGTGATTTGGCATTATATACTTTGAGTTTATATTTATTGTATTGAATAAAAGTATTGTCCCTTCCAGCAGAAGGAGGGATATTTAGCTCACATCAGCATATTCACTCAGGAGCAGACGTCATTCTCAACCGCTTTCCATTTACAGTCTCATCATCAAATATTCACACCCTGCCAAATCTCGCTTTGTTTTCTTCACATCTCCATTACATAGTTTCACTCCATTTTACCAGTTGATGTATGTGGTATTAGAAAATTTCAACTAGAGACAACATAAGTGGTCAGAGTAACATTTATCATTTTTTACATGTTAAGATTATATAAAATGAGGAAAGAGTGTGACAGCTGTCATCTCTACAGTTATGAAAACATCACAAATATTTTCCTGTCACACAAAGAAGAGACAAATACTGAGACTGTACTTATCATTTACCATAACAAAACACACAATTATAGCTAAGATAGTAAGGTTATTCATGGTTCCACATTTTTTCTTATTTACCTCAAAGCTAGATTTTATATCGTAAACCAAATTAAACAATACTGTGATCAAAACATTGGTTGGGAAGCTAATAGAAACATAAAACAAGACAATCAATCCTGTGGAGATGTAACATACAATTATTAATGCACCATAAGTCTTTAATGATCCCTATTTGTTTCCAAATTAAATACCTCGGGAGGATTTCATTGCAAAATCTTTTGCCATGGAATAAGAACTTCTACTGAGCTTTGTTACAGGCGTTAGTTACAGTCCGGGATTTTGCTCCTTCACTTATTGACATCCGTCCTATGAAACACGTTTGTGTGTGGAAATAATTGTCCATGCAATACTTTATCCTAATGAAGTCTGCAGATGGTTTAGGGAGAGACAGACATGCTTAAAAGACATATCTGTGTGGTGTTCAGCGCTTTGCTAAAAAATCAAATCAGCTTGGTTGTTCTAGAGAAAAAACCCGGGTGATGCATATGGACCTGCAGTCAGTCTGTCTACTGTTCACTGATGTGTCCTCAGAAATGGAAGTTTCCCATTTTTTAACAACAAAACGTCTAAATTAAGAAAGGTGTACAAAAGCCTCTGCACTATTGTCAAATGAGCCTGAAATGGCCAATCTAAACCTGAGACATGTTTCATTATGAACGTCTTAGGGCACAGTATATGAGCCTCCAATTAACCTAGTGTCTGCAGACTACATACATCCTCTTATAAAAAGATCAAGACATAAACTTTACATCTGGATGAGGCAGTATAGCAAATGCATCTTTAGTAAAAAAAAAAAATAGTTCAGCAAATCAAAATATGTTATTGTCTCCAATAGCCCATGGCCATACTGTGTGCTGGCAGTTTCAAATCCCATGGCTTTAGATACGGGATAAATTGTCCTTAGAGATCATATGAAAAAAGACCCTGAACAAGAGGCGCATTGTGTTAAAATCCTGGTCAGAATTAGATCTGTACCGTTCTATTACATCAGTTACATGTACTTCCGCGATACAATTTCAGCAAATACATAAGGTTTCTAACGGGTGCATTTTTTCTCTTGACTTTGATCAGTAGATTTTGTCGTCTGTGCTACATAAAAACATCGAGCTGCCTCATCACGTGCACTATTCCGACCTTAAACCTTAGTCTCACCCTTGGATTGGCAAAACCGCGACATACAGCACACATTACGCAAGAACTAAATAAAAAACGCTTTCTTATAACGTCAATGTGTGACCACATCCATTCTGAGAAACACCGCGTTTATAAACATGGGCACATTGTATGTCGTTTTCGAGCCAGCCCCTTTCCTTGTTAGATGAGTTGTAGTGGGGTGTACCAAAAAACCGAACTGTGGGGGGTTTAAATGGAACATGAATATACTCATTTTAATCAAAAGTTGAACTATACACACGTGTAGTAATGAAATTGTTGTATGGACCACAGTAAAGAGTTATTACAGTTCGAATTTCCGTGAATTAACTGTCGGAAATGGATAAACATCGATGCTACGGAGGCGGAGAACCCCTTTAGGAGTGTCTCACTTCGGGCAGTGAGCTCGACAAACCAGGCGCTGAAGTCTGAAGCCGAGCAGACACCGGCCGGAGAGAAACCCGTGATGATGTCTGCCCCGTGCATGTGCTCTCACAATTTCATTCCTTGAGACCCACTTCCGAATAGGACGACCGTTGTTACGCCCAGGTGAGAGCCCATTTCTGCCTTGTGTTTCGGTCTGGTTCGTTTTCTCGCCCCGGGCTCGGACGGGGCTCGCGGAGGGCGGTGATGGGCACCGTGAGGCTGACTGGGTACCAGTCCACCAGCGAATGATGAAACACCTCGCGTGGATGTCACACGGGCTGCGCGGGAGGGAGTTAATTTATGCGCTCTCCTCGTGGAACAATTTGTGCCCGAGCGAGACAACGAACCACATGGCACTGTTTAGATTTAAATGCTTATTTTATTTATTTTTATTTCTATCTCCGCTCCCGCGCTTTTGTCATGGTCAGGTTTTTATCGTCTTTCATATTCGGAAAAAAAGACTTAATAAACGGCGTTGGTCTTTTTTTCTTTTCCCGTTAGTCTTTTAAACCCACACCCGGTAACACCTTCATTTCCTCGCGGTTATTGTGCTGAGAGGGCTCGTGCCCGGGGAGCATCCCGCCGTGTGTCGTTCACATGCATGATGAAACGCCGGCCTCCGCCTCGCGCGGCCAGGCTAATCTGGAGGCGTTAAAGCAACCCCATTAATCACTTAATCCTCTGGCTGGGGAAAGCGCGTCGTTTGGTAAGCACTTCATAAGATTTCTGGGGAATTTTCAGGCGTAATTCTAATTTTTATTATTTTTATTCGAACCGTTTTGGGGCGGGAGGCGGCGCAGAGCAGCGGCGGTGCCTTCACGGCGAGGCGGAGGAGGCAGAAATGTGTCAGACAGTGATGTTGCGCACCTTTCCGCATTAGGGCGGCGGGCGTGCCCACGCCCCGGCCTCCCGTCCAAACGATGCCTCCGAATAATCTTTTTGGGATGTCTGAGAGATTTCCCCATCCTCGGGGAAAGGCGGGGGGGGGGATGTTTGGGTTTGTCTCCTCAATTATTCACGAGGCTCGGAAAGGAGATCTCCGTCTGTCTACCTGTCGCTCTACGCATTCGCAGCCAGGCCCGCGCGCCCCTGGAACAATGACTTGGAATAAAATGATCCCCCCCTCCACCGAACTCTGTACCGGTGCTGTGATTTCCACGTGAGGGCAGAACTGCTTCATTCTAACTGGAATTCTATTCATGGCTGCTAAAAGCTCTCCTCTCAATGAAGCTATTCCCAAACAGAGATGTTTAAATGAACGAATAAAAATCTGGATATAATATGTTTTTTATACATATATTCACTATATAAGACATCATACAGGATGCTCAGACATATCTCTGCCTGTTTTTTCTTCATCGGGCAGCTTTATTTGTTATGTTTGGCTCACAGATAGACATATCTATTACTCCAATATGTTTTGTATGTTTTGAAAAAGCAAATTAGATTAAATAAGACGAATAGATCATCAAAACTCAAGCTGATCTTAGTCACTGAATGAGTAACTTTCTCATTGTTGACTGTTCTGTTCCCGCAGATCTTTGGTGATAATGAAGAAATAAACCACTTTACAATCACTCCGCCTCTACAAACTCTCTAAAAACCCCACAGGCCCCAGGAGTCAAAACGCCCCCCCTCCCAAAGACTTGCCACATTTTGCCAAGCTTCTTTAAAAGGTGATTTCCCAGACTCTGCCTTTACCAGCCAGCCAGCCGAAAAAGACCTTCCACCCCTGGCCCCTCGTTTGCTTTATCAAATGCCCAAAAACAGCAAGGCCGTCAAGAGAGAGCTTGACGACGATGTCACAGAGTCTGTCAAGGACCTGCTTTCCAACGAGGACGCCTGCGACGATTCCTTCAAGAAGAGCTCGCTGATCGTCGACGGCCAGGACGGTGAAGGCAAGGAGTGCGATGTGGAGGAAGGGGGCTCGGACGGAGAGGAGGAGGAGCGCCCGGCCTGGAACAGCAAGCTCCAGTACATCCTGGCCCAGGTTGGCTTCTCGGTAGGCCTGGGTAACGTCTGGAGGTTCCCCTACCTGTGTCAGAAGAATGGAGGGGGTGAGTCACTGTCAGCAGCCCTAATTCTTTTTTTAAATAAAAAAATAATAACTTAACCTTGTCCTGTTCAGCATTATGGCAGCAGAACTGAAAACTGATCTATGCTGAACAAAATTGCTTTGCCAAGGGAGGCTTTGTTTGTGAGAAGCCCCCTTGATTACCCAAAACTACTTTATTTATTCATTTTGTTACCAAACTTCCACGTCCAATAATGCCGAACCTGACAGAGGGACAGGGAAGAAAGAAGAGCAGTGGAAAGGAAAGAGATCCTTTAGACAGAAAGAGAAAAAGAAAAAAAAGAAAGACAACAAAACCGTACAACTGGCTGCTCTGTCTGTAAAAAAGAAACTGTTCCCTGTGGGCAATCCGGGAGGAGAACCTACAGGAGATCCTGGAAAAGGACACAGGGAAGAAAAAAGAACACAAAGCAACAAAAGCTAAACTTTTAGCAGGGACATTCAGCAGCCCTAATTCTGTCCACTTGCTGAGCTGGCGCCGACTCACGGCTAGAGTGGAGCAGCCGTACACCATAGTGGTCAGTAAGAACAGGGTAAAATGGGCAACGCAGTTAACTGACCAGAAGACTGTCATTACAAGCACTGGGGTTCTCACATCTCACTCAGTCAGGTCCAAACTGATGAGCCAACTTGTGAGCACATATGTTAAAACACTGGTTAAACCATCTGAGGTATTAATCTGATAGAGTCTACAGTCAGGGCCACAAATAAACTCTTTTATTAGGGTCGACTTCTTGAACCAGAATTAACAAATGAAACTGTCATTTCTACTTTTCTTGAGTAATTACTCGGTAACAGTGTCAGATGACCCGCTAAAGACAGAACACAGCAGGCGATGTGCACATCTGTGCATGTTGTTACAGGTGATGGACAAATCTGACCGTGTGACTGACCTCGGTGTCCGTTGCTTTTTTGTTTTTTATATCCGGCTTATAGCAGATCAAAGGTCAGGAGATGTCCTTAAAAAATGGCTGCCCTTACCCCTCCGTTATTTATTTTGCTTTGCACGCAAATCCAGTCCCAGGCTCTTGTTCCAACATCCCTTCAGCATCAGCCTCTGCTGAGAGACAACGACCCACTAAGCTCCTAAAATAAACACTTTTTTTTCTCTTCCTTTTAAATGTGTCAGCCGAACGTTTGGGCTATATTAAGAAAAATGGTGTCAGAAAGCATTGCCTGGTGACAACGCGGCGCTGGCCCTTGGACGTGAGCAGAGCCAGATGTGAGGACGCCAGCCAGGCTTTGATTACGTCAACAACAACATTTTCCATCATGCTGTCCGTCATGTGTCCCAGTGGGCGACCCTATCAGGTGCCCCCCCCCCCCCCCCCAACTTGAGATTATATAAAGCCACCGACTGGCTCTTGGAAGCTGATTAAATGACACAGCCTCAGACAGCTTTACCTGGCTGGATGGAAACTCTTCAGCCTTAAACCCTTCCTTGCGTCCGCCCCATCAGAGGCAGGAACTCCTTTCCCAGCTCCACCTCTTATTTATCAGTCCATGTACTGATAAAGATGAGATAAGACACACTTTATTGATCCCACAATTGGGAATTTTTTTGGGCCGGTACAGAAAAATATCCACAGTATAATAATCATAATACTTTTTATTTTTAGAAAGCGCCTTTCATGCTTTACACTGTACACTTTACAGAGTACAGTGTAGTAAAGTATAGTATAATGTTTATAGCAGACGCTTTAATGCAAAGCGACTTACAAAGTAGGGGGGCACCCAGAGCTGAACTGGGGACCTCTTGGTCTGCAGTTAAATGCGCCACCACTGAGCTATTCCCCCCACTGAGCTATATAATATAGTATAGTATAGTATGATATGATATGGTAATAAATATAATATACTATAGTATAGTAAGATATGAGATGGTAAAATATAATACAGTATAGTATAGTATGATATGATAATGGTAAAATATAATACAGTATAGTATGATATGATATGGTAAAATATAAAACAGTATAATATGATAGGGTAGGATGAAATATAATATAGTATATAGTATGAGATGATATAATAAAATATACTATAGTGAAGTATAGTATGATATGTAATGGTAAAATATAATATAGTATATTATATTATAGTATGGTATGGTATGGTATGGTAAAATATAGTATGGTACATTTTAGTATAGTGTAATATAGTCTGAAAGTTGTAATAAATCCCATAAGCCTTTTAAATAAGTGGTTAGGTTAATAATTGTGCAGCAGAGATAAAAAATAATGTGCAAATGTTGTGAATCTTAATCATTAAATTTCCCTCTTTAACTTATTATCTTGTGCTTATCCACATGTGCCTCTGAAGTGGATCTGTGTGCCCCCCTCCCACGCCAACAGAATCACACACAGCCGGTTTTAGTGTGCTTTGTGCAGTAAGCGGCATTATTGTTATCAATACAGTTTGCAGGGGGAAAGAAATCTGGGAAGTTTGAGCGTTATTCAGCTGAAATATAGCCAGACCATGTGAGTCTGTGTTTGTTTGTGTGTGTGACACGGGGGCTCACAGCTCAGCGACAGGACGCGGGGGTGTTTTCAGGTCTGGTCTAAACGCTCCGGCCTCCCTGCGGTGCTCCTCTGTAATTAGATTAAAATGGCAGCTCCGGGGGCTGGAGCAGGTCTCCTCGTCTGACCGCGCTCACGTTGCCGTCTCTGCAAGGACCAAAGTGTCTTTTATTTATTTTTTTATCGACATGTTGTTCGAGAGTTCAGGCCTAGTTTAAAGGTGACTTGAAGGTTAAACCGAGGGGGAAAAAAGGCTAACGCCAGCTAATGTTCAGGCAAAAATAACGTGGGCTGCAGGGTCCCTGCGTGCTTTATCTCATATCCGTGTTCGATGTCAACGTATGTGCATATTCATCAGCAGCTTTTCCACCGCTGACTTATTCCTTTTTCCTCTGAGAGAAGTCTCAGCTAAAAGGTGCTCTCTCATTTCCTTACATAGCTCTGTGGATTTTCCATTAAAAAATCTGAATTCTCTCACAAGTTTGTATATTTTCATTCTTGTTTATATTCTTTATTTGGCAAAGATAAAAGCATCAAATCATTACCATCATGGTATTAATTTTAAACTAAATTTAGTTCTCAAAACACTCTGTTCCTCTGTCATTTCTCATTGCAGTCAGACACTGTCGGGACACCTTATTCTCTCCTAACCTGCTTTCAGGTCGCCGGTTGTTTGCATAGACTTCGACTTAAGAGTACAGGATTATCTATTATCTCCCAACTTGTTAATAGCAGCCTCTATAATCATCTATTGGTTTTATAATCATCACAACCAAAATGTCAATTGATAAACTATTAATGTCCCAGGCTGCTTTTATTTCCAAATCCTGACTGTGATCAAAAAATAGCCTTTCTATGTATATCTGCCTACTGACAGTAGCTGTTTACGTCTTAAATTCACAGTTTTGTTGCTCTGGTAAGAATCAGCTGGAACATCCACTACGATGAGGGATGCATATGAATCAGATTTTTTCTGTACCCCCTGAAAGCTGAACAGGGGATGTTTACAAAGGAACTCTGAACCTTCACCACTGGCCTCCGGGAATTAAACGGACATGGGATCTATTTTAGGGATGAAATAAGACTTGAATGAAATTCACTCTCATCAGACTGTTTTCTTTGTCCATGAGCCTTCAAAGAGGCATGTCGAGATTTTTTTTTTTTTAAACAATGGAAACCAGAGGGGGGTTTTTGATGCCGACTGATATTAAAGCCTCCTCCCAGAAAGAGTTGTGTATCAACCTAACCAGAATTAGATGTTTTAATATTAGAAACTGTGCTTGAAACAACAAGACGGGCGTGCGCGCACAATAACTTCCTGTGCGTTGCCACTCCCATCACGGATAAACCTGGGAGGGGCAGCGGGGCTCAGGAAAGGATCCCAATGAAACAATGAGATCAGATGCAAGTTTTTTTTTTACGCCGTCATAGATGAGTCATGGCAAACATTAGACCGCATATTCTCATTTTGTTGTTGGGGGTTTGTCCTATATAGAGTAAAGAATGCGACCGTTGTGGAGCGGCATTATCTAAAAAAAATAGAAATAGATAAGAGAAAAACACGTCTCGCCTTGTGTAACAAAAAATAAAGAGGGCTTTATTCTGAAATGTGATGCCACTGAACACTTCTCACCTCTGGCCATTCCTTTCAAACAAGGACTTTTGGGTTCTCTTGTTGCCATCAAATCATCACGTGGCTGGCAGACTCACAAGCTCTCCGACTGTCTCGGAGAGCTGTATTTGAACACACCGTACCATTACAGCACACTCCGATTTCAGCAGTTCACCCTGAAAGCTTTAATTCTAGAGAGAGGTGTGCTCTGGCACTATAATTTATTTAAGCAAAGTCACACCTCTTTCTTTGGTCTTTTTTGGTTGTGTGAATGGGCTGAATGGTGAACTCCATGGCGGGGGACATCAGGCACAGTTGTCAGTACTATCAACCCAAAAGTGTCAGGCCTTAGTCATCTCCCGCCTCGACTTCTGCACTGCTCTCCTAACAGGCCTTCCAGCCTGTGCTGTGAGTCCACTCCAGATGATCCAGAATGCGGCAGCTTGTTTGGTTTTCAACCAGCCAAAGAGAGCACATGTCACACCCCTGCTAGACTCCACTGGCTTCCCTTAGCTGCTCGCACCAAATTCAAACCCTTACCCATCAAACACTCTGTAGGCCTATGCTGGCCTACAGAGTGTTTGATGGGTTAGGGTTAGGGTAAGGTATCTACCTCTACGCCCTCTTAAAGCCTTATGTCACCGCTCGCCCACTCTGTTCCTCCAAAGAGCGTCAACCAACAGGGCTAAAACGGCTAACGCGCTACAGGGCAATCTAGAGTCTAGACTCTTCTCATCTGTGGTTCCATGCTTGTGGAACGACCTTACAGCAACTATCAGAGCATCAGAGATCCTCGAAGACCCAGCTCTTCTGAGAGTATCTTTTGTCGTTAAAGCTCTAAATGCTCTTTTTGCTGAAAGCATATAGACTCAGTGTATGGTACCTGTGTAATCTTTTTTATAGTTGAATGTTATATCCTTAATGTTAAATCCTCTTCTGGCATATTGCACTAAGGTAAATGTGGTAAATGTGTAACTGGCGTTGTAGTTGAATGTTAAACCCTGTTTTTGCAAGTCGTTTTGGATAAAAGCGTCTGCTAAATGCATAAATGGAAATGGAAATTAAGCCCAAGGGAGATATTGAGCTGTCAAGGTCAAAAGGGAGCTTTGGCACCATGTGCTTGGGAGCTGCTTTCAGGAGCTGAGATGTGACATCACAGGTGATGAGTGTTCCTTTTGCTCCGACAGGGGCGTACCTGGTGCCCTATCTGATTCTGCTGATTCTGATCGGCATCCCGCTTTTCTTCCTGGAGCTTGCGGTGGGTCAGCGGATCCGCAGGGGCAGCATCGGGGTGTGGAACTACATCAGCCCCAGACTGGGGGGCATCGGCTTCGCCAGCTGCGTGGTGAGTGGAGAGTGTTTTTACTAGTGTGTCAGTCAACAAATGTGCCCGCCGCAAGCAGCACATCGGTCTAAAGTGAACCGGACTGAGGTACGCTAAGCCTTTACATAGTCAGGCAATGGATCTTTCTCAAGCAGTTTTGAAAGATTTTCTGTATGGTCTCTGGATTTGTTCTGTCATAATTGACTGAGATGTTGGTTGAAAGAAATGGTACTCAAAGAGAGAAGTACAAAAAATCCTTAAAGATTAGATTCAATCTACTTTGAAAAACAGCAGCATAATGACTCAGACAAGAAAGAGAACTCACATTTTACTGACTTTAAAGACTGCATTTGTTAGTTTTATAGCAGTCTTGTTCCTACTTATTTGTCAGAACCACTTTTGATTTTGGGAATGGCATTTTAATCACTTTTCAAGTTATGTGGTTATCTATTCTTTCAAATTGTTATGATTGACTTTGTTTAAATTGATTCACTTCTTTTTTTTTTTTTAAAGGGGGGGGGGGGTTGTGTTTTGTTTGTTTTATGGGCCAACAACATCTTCTAGGATTGTATCTTTTAGAAGTTTTGGGCCGTTTTTTATTAGTTTGCGCTCCATTACATTTAAATGAAAAGTGTTTGATTGCTTGATTGGATCCTTCCTCTGAATATATTGTAAATGTACACTGGATTTAATTTTAGTAGATATAATAGTTTTTGTGTGTGTGTCTGGTGTTTCCTCCTTTGCTTCTAGGTGTGCTTCTTCGTGGCCCTCTACTACAATGTCATCATCAGCTGGAGCCTCTTCTACTTTTCCCAATCCTTCCAGCAACCTTTGCCCTGGCATGAATGTCCACTTGTCAAGAACAAGACCAGCACATGTAAGAAAGAAGGGCCCGGTTAGCAGGGACCACTTTTCTACAACCCGTTGAGATCAAAGAGTTTTTTTCACCTGTTACTTGTCTGGTTAACTGTGAGTGCTGGGGTCTTTGTCCACAGACGTGGTCCCAGAGTGTGAGAAGAGCTCAGCCACCACTTACTACTGGTATAGAGAGGCCCTGAACATCTCAGACAGCATCTCCGAGGGCGGCGGACTCAACTGGAAGATGACAGTGTGCCTGCTGATTGCCTGGTCAATGGTTTGCCTCGCCATGATCAAGGGAATCCAGTCTTCAGGAAAGGTAAAGACATTAACCCCAATGAGCTAAATGGCTAAAGCTATTTATTGGGATGACAAATCAAGGGGAAGAAGAGTTTGTTTGGGAGAGGTTTAAAGTTGGACAAAGAGGACAATGGTATCTTACAGCTGCTCCACAATCATAGCAGCTAGGCCTTAGGTAGAGTCCACTGGTCTCACACTGGATGGAAAATCATCTCATATGCAATTAGCCCACTTTTGCAAGATCTAAAGCACCTTCTAAATGCCAACTGCAAAGTGAGCACCTGACTCATTTTTGTAATGATACTGTTTCGCTGCGATTGTCCGAGCTCGTGATCTTACGAGGGATTTCTGCCTCAGCTTATGTTAGCTTAGCGTAGCAAAGCTGACAGTATCGTGACTTGCGGAAGGATTAGCTAAAAGCCGTTGTTTGCTTGCAATTCCACTGAGCTCTTCAACTCTTTGTGCGGGTTATCTCCATCATTACACGGTGTCATATGACAAGCATTAACCCTGTACTTGTCAGGTTAGGGTCATTTTAAGGGGCACCATGATGACAGATGTGTGGGTGTGTGGATGCTAATGCATGTAATAACATCTTTGGCCAGATAGATAAATGAACATAATCAGAAAATACCCCTCCACATTTTTACAATTTACTTTGTAATTGTGTCCGCTGACACTGTCTAGACAAGGATGTGGCTCTTCCCCCTCGTGTTTGTGTTACCAGGGAACGCTGTTGGATTGGGTGCAGACAACATTTTTAGAAGCCTGGCGACAGCACCACATACAGGTTGTTAGGAAAAGCCAAATAAAGTGCGATTCTGTATTTTATGGGACGCGCGGCAACCCCAGAGACAGTGTTGTGCTGACTGGAAAACTTTTTTTTTTTTTAATCCTGATTTTATCAGATATGAATTCAGAATGTGGTCAGCAATCCAATCTTTCATCCCCCCCAAAAGAAGAGAAAAAGCGTAGCACAGTTTTTAGGCTCAAAATACTTTGTCCTGAAATGCTAAATGCTTAAAAGATCTTATAAAAACACTGCATTCGTAGCTGCTAGCTGGTCCGTGGGCTGTTGTCTGCTAATGTCATTTCCTGGTCATTCCAGCTGTTTTTTTTTTGTTTTGTTTTTTACTAACATTATGTTGGCGATAGCAGTTTATTAGTCCTGGAAAATTTCCTGTTCAATTTTCTTTTTTGTCACAAGGTAACATCAGGCCAACGAGCATGAATTAACATTTGAATGTGAGCTTTTAGGGGGAAAAAGAGGGTTTTCAACTTAGATGGGGATGGTGTGCATCTACGAATACAAAGATGGGTGCTGCATCTAAAACCATATTTCCAGCCTTGGCGCTGGTTATGGCTCTTAGCCACATCCCCACAGCTTGCTACTGTTTGCTTGGCTCCACATCCATCACGAGGGCCACAAAACAAAACAAGATGGATGCCTTTCACAGCGGAGGCGTTTTAATCTTGGCCTCTCCAACAGGGGCATGACAGGCATGTCTCTCTCACTCTCTGAAGGCCAGCTGCAGCCAACATCTACAGCGTCCTCTTTTGCCCGGACATGTCCACTTTTTACATCCTGTCCGGGGGGGGATTATGAATTCATAAAAATGTCCGTTTTTCACTGTTTTTCATGGGACCAGAATCGTCTGTTTGAATCGACTGGTGCTTTGCACAGAATACCACAGTACTTCGTTCCCTGCCACACTAACACACACACACACACACACTCGCACACACACACACACACACACACACACACACACACACACACACACACACACACACACACACACACACGCACACACGTACACACACACACACACACACACACACACACACACACACACACACACACACACACACAGGGAGCAGAGCAGCCAGTATTGGAGACAAAATGCCCAAACCAAAGTGCAGCTTCACAGGCGAGCTGCAACAAAAATGTCCCCCGTACCGTCCCGGTTAAGACAAGTGGGACAAAAAGGATTTATACTTCCTATGGATCTCTACTTAGTGTAGATCCTTTTTGTTTGTTGAGTTTCTATCGTTGTGAGACTGTTTCATTCATTCCATTCAGAGGGTATCCAGAGGTATTTAGTTGAAGCTGTATTTTCTAATACAGAAGAGGTCATATTTAGAACATTATTTTATTCTATTCATGTATTTTAAGGGCTATCATTTTGTTACCGGTTGTGTTTAACTACCGAAGTTATTTTTGTACCATTTAGGTCTAATAAAGCGTGTTCATTAACCCCTGAGAACCTGTCTGGATCCGTCTGGAGGCAAAGTTTCTTCCTTCTTGGAAATCCAAACATGGTCACCCTACCTAAAGACCTTCCACTGTCATCACAAAATTGAAAAGAAATATTTTAATATATTTGGCAGCTCAGAAAGAAGCTAAGCTAAAAGTTAGCAGTACAATTCTGGGCCAGATGGTCAAGCGGCAACCACCTGGTGTGTGTGGATAGCCCTTTGGAGCTGGCTGGAGTAAAAGTGGGCATTAACTTTCCTTGGAAGGGGGCGCATGGCTCTGAGTGTCTTTGAAGTTTAATCGGCAAAGCGTGTCACTAAAGAATATTAATGCCCTCATCGCCCGTGTTCGCACAAAAGGCCTCGTCCAAAGAATCCCCCCACTGCGTTTCTCTGCCATTTGCGTGTGGGTGGGCGTGAAAAAAAGGATCAGACCATTCGGTTGCCATGGTTATACGCGCTCTTTTGGCTCGACTCGGTTGCCAAAAGTGTGGCAAACCGCGTGGAAGAAGGGGGACGTCGGACAGGATTCTGGTTAAGTAAATTCACTGCAGGTGTTTGGGCATCTTTGAGCCACTCCAAATACAAACTTGTGCTCTGTGAAACATTACATTTGCATCAGTGTGAGCTGATGAGATTCCAGAATGAGAAGCACTCCAGTGTCTGGCAGGAGGGGTACTCCTTTACCTTAATTTCCCTTTTAGATAAAAGCCAAAACTCAGGTTTCCAAGTAGAAGACATGTGTGCTTGTGTTTAACCCAGATGTGGTGTTGGGGGCACCTTCTTAGAAATAACAGAAAATTGTTTAAGCTAAGGAAGTATGACAAAATAATACTAAAGACATGTATTCCAGTTGTGTAACATTTTTGGCATTAAGCTTTATTTTGGGGATCTTTACAGAAAAAGCATTATGCTTTTTGTAGTGTGCAGTTGATTTTTTTTTTAATAAGCTGTTTTATATTTTATAATTACTATACAAAATCTATGATTTTAATGGGGAGGAACAGCTCTGTTATGCTGTTATTGGAAAACTATTGAAGAACGGTTTAATAGGGACAAATAAATTGCTTCAAATCAAGATCCCAAACTGCTGAATGGGACTATGACTCAGCCCAAAACTAGTTGTTAGTGTCTGTACACACACCCTTTCACCAGTCCTGTGCTCTGTGGCTCACAGTGTGGCAGACTGAGCTGACTCAGGCCTTAGCCAACATGTCTGTGCAGAGGAGACATCTGGATTAGTGTTATGTGTTGCCTCACTGCCACAACGAGGCAACGCCTCTAGCAGAACTTGAACAGGTACTGACTCTGGCTTAAGTTAATGAGAAAAAAGAAGCCAGTCAGGTACTGAATGCGAACACCGAGGCGAACGTCATTACTTTAATATCTGCGTAAATAATCTAAACATAGATTCAGACTAAATTTAATCACTGCATGCTTTACCTTTATTCTATGTGAGGAACCCATGAGATGAGAAAGTTAGAGCAAGCTGGGGAAAAAGGAAACGAGCCTCATAGAAAAACCAGCAAAAGCAAGAGTAATTGAGGAGCTGTTCTCTTCTCCTAGAAAGTTAGTGGACTCGCAGGGGCCTGGGCTTGGAGGAAAGGTTGCAGAAAAATAAGACCAAAAAGCTGGTTCAGTAGAAATCCTTTAGCTAACATATATATGATTGTTCAGGTTTTTACTTGCATTATATTTACGTATTTCAGAGATGCTACATGCTGACTGATGCTAATGTGGCTAATGCAAATGGTGAAACATCAGAGACAATAACTGCACTCATCAGTATTTATAAGTCAACATGCAAAACTCACCTTTGGTAACTTTTGACTTTCACAAAGCCAACTGCAAGCAAAGCTAAGCACCAGCAATAGCAAAAGGCCATAAGCCCATAAACATTTATTTACACTTTCAAGCCATTTTAAACAAATGCAAGGGGTTTTAAAGAAGCTGTAAAAAAGAAGAAAAAGCTTTCTTTTCAGTCAAGCAAAACTCAGAGTGAGATCACATATTTATTTTTGACAGTTTACCAAAGAGATACCTTCGTTCTCCTCTGCAGGTGATGTACTTCAGCTCCTTGTTCCCGTACGTGGTTCTGATCTGCTTCTTGGTTCGTGCTCTGCTCCTGAAGGGCTCTGTGGACGGGATTCGACACATGTTTACGCCCAAGGTAAACCACATTACACACACAATCTAAGCTAGATTCTGTTGTTGTTTTTCTTTTTGCCATTTGAAAAATACTTTTCTATCTTGTTGCTAGCCACTTCTTATTGATTTTTAGTCCATCTAGCATTCTTTAAAAATTGATGGTGTTGTTTTTCATAAGGGAATTAGTTTTTACTGCGGTACATTTGTCTCTTTATATCCTTTTATTCTGTTGTGAAAATTAATATTAACCCATCAATGAAAAAAACATCCTCAAGGAAAGGAAATATCCTTCTATCTTCGGATGGTTTAAAACATTTTGTTTTTTTATATTTAAGAAAATGAAACACACTCACACACACTTTTTTCTACAAATGGCATCCCCTTAATTTCTATTTCATTGTTTGTTTTTAATTGTTTGTTGTAGAGGTTTTCTTTTTTTAGGTGTGTATATGTGACACATTTGTTTAAAGGGGAAAAAACAATAAAAGTAAAAAAGAAGATTGTATTTCTGGGATTGGAAGTATCATATTTACCTAATCTAATTTAAAAAAGAAAAGGAAATTAAATAATTGTGTTTTAAACAATCAAACACATGTTAATGACATTCAAGAAGTATAGATTAAAAATCAATATTTGTGCAGTAGTTTTACTTTCAGGAGACTTTTTCCACCTCTGGAGACAAAAATGGGAGTTCAAACCACCATTTGACTGCTTGAGCTCAAAAGATGAATTCTCCAATTTCATAGGTTGGCGGCTCAGCTGCAAGTAGCCAATGACACTTCAGGCCACAAACCCATGTCACCATGGAAACAGGAGTCACTGGGTCTTTCTGTGAGCAGCCAGCCAGGCACTGGGTGCTTTCTGTCTGCTGTGTCTGGGTTTCTGAGCACCGCTGCCACCGCCTCTGTGTGTTGTTGGACATCACCGCGTGTCCCAGTATTGCCCGGGGCAGTTAAGAGAGGCTTGGCAGTAAAAACGATAAACCCTTTCAGCCCTCTGTATTTTTTAAAAGATAAAAAAACGGACAAGACCCCCAACAATGACGCTGAATTTCGTGGCTCCCGGCTGACAGAAGCTGGATCCTAATAAATGAAAAATAGAGGTTCATATTGTCCGTTGGAACCCAAAGTATAGTCCTCTGTGGGGTTTTTTTAACAGGTTCGTGTACGAGTTAGCCGGCCCAAAGTTCTGACAGTGACAGAAAACAAATCAGAGCGTCGTGGATGTTGAAATGAAACAAACCCAATGCAGTCAGCCGGAGACTGGTTCACACGGAGGGTCCCAACATTTTTGCCATGGCTATTTGCTTTAAAACGTACAACACGCAGATGTGATGTAAAAGGAATAAGCTCCAAATAAAGAAAAAAACTGTCCAATTAAGTAAACAGTATTATGAGAGAAAAAAAGTCACTGAGGTTTATATTAAAATTAGATGGAAACGCATTCAACGAAAAAAAAAATAAATAGACGCCTTATTTCGTAATTACAAAAACTGGAAAGGCACCTTACTGAACGCCGCTTCACTCAGAACCAAACCGCCCGTCAACGAAGAGGTCAATAAATTTGTATAAGAGTAAATTAAAAAAACTTTACGAAGTCTATTTTCAACTTCGGCTTTGTTACCTTTTGTGACTTCGTTACCGTGGCAACAGGGACGCTGACATCGCTGACTCTGAGATGCTGTTTGTTTTTTTATGCTAGCACGTCGTAATTACGACAAAAGATTACGACATTCTGATCTCCTAATTAGGAGATTTTTTTCGCTTAATTACGAGATGTCTATTTTTTTTCAGTGAATACAATACGCTTCCGTAAATTCTGAATACAACCCTAGGTAACTTTTTGTTCTCATAAAACTGTTTTATTAATTGTACAGCTTGAATGTCACATTCTTCCTTTGCCATATTGGTGGTTTGGTTTTTGTGAAGGCTCATAACGAGTTTCGTTTATGTTTTTATGCTGATTTTGAACCAACAATACATTTGTTTTTTTTACAAATAAAGAAAAAAGAGGTGGCATAAGATTCCACACGGTAACCAGAGCTTCAGTTGCTTCTAAAGCCCACCCGCCATGTTGTGAGCGCGTGGGTAGACGGAAGAATCGCTAAAATAGACCCGATGTGTCGGTGTCCCGTTCAGCTGGAGATCATGCTGGAGGCCAAGGTGTGGCGGGAGGCGGCCACGCAGGTCTTCTTCGCGCTGGGCCTGGGCTTTGGCGGGGTCATCGCCTTCTCCAGCTACAACAAACGCGACAACAACTGCCACTTCGACGCCGTCCTGGTGTCGTTCATCAACTTCTTCACGTCCGTGCTGGCCACCCTGGTGGTGTTCGCCGTGCTGGGCTTCAAGGCCAACATCATGAACAGCAGATGCGTTGCTCTGTGAGTCCCCTTCATTTGAAAACCCTCTCTATAATGGCCCACAGTCAATTGTAAAGTGGTTTCATTGTCGTCCTTTGAAATTCTGACCGTCAGTGAATGTTTCTTTTCCGGTTCCAGGAACACTAATAAAATCGTGGCCCTGCTGGGGAACGGCATTGACCCGACCCTCATCCCCCGCCACGTCAACCTGACCCAGGTCAGCGCCGAAGACTACCACCAGATGCTGGACATCTTCAGAGGGGTGAAAGAGGACCAGTTCAGCACACTGGGACTGGAATCCTGCAGCATTGAGGACGAGCTCAACAAGGTGCGAGCAAAACAAACGAACGTTTGACTTAGAATTGTCGAAACCTTCGGAGAGGGTGTCCAGTTGTTAAAAAGTTAGCCTGACAGTTAGCTTAGCATGGCGCCATGGTTGGATGCTGCCAGCTCATAGCGGAACAGCATTTGTTTCCCAAATGAGTATCACCTTATGGACTGAATGTTTATTTTAGACCAACAACTGATTAGATGAACGAGTTATGGCTTATTTGGTATTTTCTCCAACAGTGCCCTGACTTACTAGAGGCCTTTTTTTAAAGCATATGCTAACTGTTAGCCGTCAGAACACCAATGGCATCAAATTTGTCACCCGATGCTCAATTTTCCCTAAAAACTGGAGGCTAGATAATTTTAAAACATTCAACCTTTTCCTCCCTAATTTGAATACTGTATTCGCCTATTGGTGTTTTTCAAAATAGTAAATTTCAATGGTCTTTTAATGGTAAAATATTTCCAGGGAAGAGCTTTGAGTTTTGTCTGCTAGAATCTGGGCGTAGTTTGAAACTCCTCTTCCTCTCCCCTGTCCAACAGGCAGTGCAGGGCACAGGCCTGGCCTTCATCGCCTTCACTGAGGCCATGACCCACTTCCCGGCCTCGCCCTTCTGGTCCGTCATGTTCTTTCTCATGCTGGTGAACCTGGGCCTGGGCAGCATGTTCGGCACCATCGAGGGAATCCTCACTCCTCTGATCGACACTTTCAAAGTCCGCAAGGAGTTTCTCACAGGTGAGGAAGACGCTGCGCTTTTTTCTTATTTTTACCAAGAAGTATGGTACAGTATGGCCATGACGCTGGATTAAAACAGAAAAAGCACAGGGAGACTGTCTAAAGCTTTTGCCCTCCCTCCTCCCTCCCAGTGGGATGCTGCGTGCTGGCCTTCTCCATCGGCCTGCTGTTCGTCCAGCGCTCAGGGAACTACTTTGTGGCCATGTTTGACGACTACTCGGCCACTCTGCCGCTGCTCATCGTTGTGGTGCTGGAGAACGTGGCCATCGCCTGGTTCTACGGGATCGACAAGTAAGCGCAAAACGGCTGAAAGTGGAGCCGGGTGTGTGGCGCCGCGGCCGCCCGGCCTCACTCCTGCCCCCCCCCCCCTTTTCGGGCAGATTCTTCGAGGACCTGAAGGACATGCTGGGCTTCACGCCGTACCGCTTCTACTACTACATGTGGAAGTACATCACGCCCATCCTGCTGCTGCTGCTGCTGTGCTCCAGCTTCATCCAGCTCATGATGACCCCCCCCAGCTACAGCGCCTGGATCCAGGAGGAGGTGAGTGGAGCAAGTGAAAGGCCCCGGGACACCAGACTGTTGCCGAGTTTTAGGCTGATACGCACATGGTTCTGGTACCTTTTATCTATAGACCCTTTGTCTATCATTAAAGATTCTCCTCATTTAGTTTTAGGGACCTATAGTCGTTAAGATATATAACTTTGTAATAATTAATACTCACATATATAACTATATACATATATTTATTACACACATAACTATATATATATATATACACATACAGTAGGACCTCTACTTCTGCCTAAACATACTAATTTTCCAACATAAAGTGAAATTTGATCAAATAATCGACTTGACACCCAAATTAAATTTCCAACATATGACTTCAAAGTAAAAAAAAATATATATATAAAAATTAGATAGAAATAAATACGCTAAGTCAGTTTAAAGTTCAGGTAGTAAAGTCAGAGTGAGTTAGGGCTGGTCCTGTATCTCAGTCTCCACCTCTAACTTCGTTCTTCTGTCTCTGAGCTAAAGGGCCAATAAAAACCCTTTTTATTGGTTATTTCTTTATCATTTATTTATTTTAACATCTCTGTTTTATAAGTCATTTGCTTATTGCTATGTGTAATTATCTGCAGTATTTATTGAGGAGTTATCGTAGGTTTTTGGAACCAATTCTAGGAATGACAGTGTATTCTGATGGAAGATTTGAACCAACATATGATTATTTTAACAAGGAACCAGTTAAATTCCTATGTAGAGGTTATATATATACATATATATATACACACACACACACACACAAAGGAGAAATGCCCTATAACCCTGATACATTTAGATAATTGTGGCGACACATTGAGTTCATACAGTCACATTAAGTCTGAGCTGCCATTTAAAATTTCATGTAAAAATTAGTGGGACCACTTCCTGTTGTACTCCTCTACCCTGTTCAACAGTCTATAAGATAAGCCCCCCCCACAGCCAAAACGTGTAAAAAAAAAAGTGTGACTTATAGTCCAAAACATCCGTCACATGTCCGCTCCCCCCCCCAGGCGGCTGAGAGGACCCTGGGCTTCCCCCCCTGGGGCATCGTGGTCTGCATCTCCCTGGTTGCCATGGCGATCCTGCCCGTGCCGGTGGTCTTCGGCCTGCGCTACTTCAACCTCATCGACGAGAGCGCGGGGGGGCTGTCGTCCGTCTCCTACAAGAAGGGCCGCATCATCAAGGAGAGCCCCCGCCCGGAGGAGGACGACGACGCCAGCCTGATCGGGGGGAAGACCCCCAGCGAGGCGCCCTCCCCCCGGCCCCCCAACCGCACCCACCGCCCCCCCAGCGCCCCCCCCCCCCCGGGGCCGCCGGGGACACGGCGCCCAACGGCCGCTACGGCATCGGCTACCTGATGGCCGACGCCCCGGACATGCCCGAGTCGGACCTATAGACGGTGACCAGCGCCCCCCCCTCCAGCCCCCCCGCGTGCGTTTAGTCATCACTGTACATTTCTGTTTGGTTTCTGTATATTCAGTGTAGATAGCCGCTCTGTCGTTGGTCATCTCTGACCATTACACGCCCGCGCAGCCCCGAAGGAGAGAACCGGCCGCGGACAAAAGGCCGGCGGGGGGGGGGCAGCACTTCACCCCCCCGCCACCAAGATTCTGCCAAGACCAGTCCACAAAGAAGCCAGCAAAGGAATTCCAGGAGGCGTTCTCGGGACTGAGTCCGTTGGCGTGCTAGTCCAGCCAGTCCTGCTGTGTCCGTGGTGTACATGTGACCATAGGTTAGTCCAGATTTACCCGTTTTTTGGTTCTGGCCCGAGCTAGTGGAAGGCCTTTGAATTCCATTCCCGTGATTTTCAAAACACAAAACGTGTGCCTAATTTATATTTGTTTATAGAATACGCCATCGTTGTACATTTGAGGTATTCTGTAAATATAATATAAATATTATAAATAATGTTATCTTGACAGTTTGGATATCAGAGCAGTGTTTTTAAGGTTCAGAAGGACTTTATAACTCTCTTGTCTCTCTTTCATTTCTTTTTTCTTTTTTTTTACTAAAGTCCTGTCAGTGTTGGTGAGGACTGAGTCCTCCTTGTAAATATATTTTTTCCATGAAATGGCTTTAAATGCAAATGTCTCTTTCCCCAATTCAAGATTAAAGATCAGAAATGGTCCGCATCCTCATGTTTCCTCTGTTCCTTTTCACCTTTTTCTTTTTCCTCCCACCAGGCAGGGCTCTTGGTTTCTATGAAGAATGAAAAACATTTCGCAGTAGAAAAGCAAATAAAACCCGGAGTCGTTTAGTAAAATAACTTTTACTCATTCCTTCCTTGATGTCACAGTGACTTCAGAAAACAAGACAACAAAAACAAGTCCAAGCAAGAATAGTGAAAAATGAAAATAAATAATCCAATTCAAACGTACATTTAGTGGCTTTTCTTTCCTTTTGGCTTTCTCTCTAGTTTCTGTATTCTACAGGTAAACAGGATTGTATGTTCTATCAGCTGGAAACAGACATTTCTCTTTGCTCTCAGCCCTGAAAACAAACGAAACCGTCCGTGTCCCTTTACAAAGTGTTGCATCAGAAATCTGAAAGGATCGTCATCTCCTGATAAACAAAGGAGTGTGCGTCAACAATGGAGGAAAGGGAATATGCCTTGTGTCAGGTTCTTTCTATTGTCTGCCCCCCCCAGAATAAAAAGTGCTTTTGGCTGACACGAGCTCCCTCTCAGGCTCAGATTGATGGCTGAACACCCAGAAACTCTAGTGAAGAGTTCATCCCTTTTTGGTCGATTCTTCTGTTGAGAGAAAAAGGAACAGCATGTTAAGAATGGTTTACCCTCCATAGACCTTTTTTTTTTTAAGAAAAGGTTTAAGTTTAGACTGCAAATCAAGATCAAAGAAGTGATCCGATACAGCTGCCTGTCTGTGATTGTTCTATTTTTAGGACAAAATCTGGTGTGCTGCAGATTTTCTCAACAAGAACAAATCTACCGTCTCTATAGCTTTCTTTAATTAAAGATATATTCAATTTAATCCAAACACTGGCATGTATGTAGCGCGGAGGGGGGGGTGTTAGCTTTTTAGGTCTGTTAACTTTCTCTTGATTAGTGACTAATTACTTTAAACATGGGGTGAAAAAAAGATGCTCAGTAAACATTCCCATAAGCAGAAAACAGTATCTTATCGTAAAAAAAACAGAAAATATCTCAGCAGCACGGTGGTGTGGTGGTTAGCACCATCGTCCCACGGCCAGAGGGTTCTGGGTTGGAGTCCCCGGGGGAACCAGGACCTTTCTGCTAGAGGGTTCTGGGTTGGATGGACTGGGGACTGTCCAGGGTGACCCCGCCTCTCCCCATTGGCTACTGGGATAGACTCCAGTCCCCCCCAACCCCATTAGGGAATAAATGGTAACGATAATGGATGGATGCATGCATGGATCTATCGATGGATGGATGGATGGAACATATCTCCACCCAAAGGAAATCTCATTGTACTTAAAAATCTCCACTAAATGTTCAGACATGAGTTGAGGCTCGGTATGTTTGGAGCTTGCTGGCTGGCCCTGTTTCAGGGGGACTGAAGCTAAGAGAACACTTCAGTCCACAAAGGACTAATCTCAGATTTGGTTTTCCTTTAACACCACAAAAAGGACAGTGTGTCCAAAATTGCAAACCCAGCATGTCAGAGTAAGTGGACTTGGATCTGACTCAGATCTGGGGGGGGGGGCGGACCTGGTGGTCTCAGGCCTGGTGCAGCGTCTCCCTCATCCTGCTGGCCATGCGCTCCCTCTTCTGGCAGTGCTTCTTCAGCTCTTTCACCTCCATGGGCAGCGTGCTGTTCCACACCATCAGCACGGACTCCTCATCTGCACACACACACACACACACACACACACACTCTCTCAGTGGTGGGGCTGGTGCGTGGAGGGTCGCAGCAGGGCCGGCTGTTTGGACAGAGCGTGACACAAACAGCCCCCCCCCCCCCCCCCCCCCCCCCCCCCCCCCCCC